GGAAGTAACTCGTTGTAGTCCCTACCAGCCGTTTTTGTAGGCATTAAACTGCCAGAATTTTTAAAGACTATATCTCCGTTTGCATTGAACTTTCAGCTTCGTAACTTTGCAGATATTGTTTATGCTCGAACAGCAACATTACACACTAACTAACATTAAAAAAGTGAAATCGCAATGAACCACCCCTTTAAAAACATGTGGTAGAACAAGTGTTGCAGTTGTTTATATTTGAGGCTTTTTTTTACTTGTTAGTTTGTGAACACATAAGTTCATTCATTCATACAGTGATGCACAGTGATAAAGCAGAAGTTAGTTTTGACATGCAACCGTGTGAACAGGGTTTTGAGATGGTCGTCTTTGTGTTGTGTGTGCGTTTTTGCCATCCATCAGTTCAACCCTAAAGCACTCATCTCCAGTCCGTGTGTCTTGATGAATTTTCAGGTAAAACTGTGCAGCATGTGAGCAGCTTCTAAAGGCTTGTAACTTTCTGTTTTTCGCTCTTCAAATGAGGCGTTAGAGACGGATGACTGGTGTGTGTTTTGGGCTTCACTGACTGTATAACGTTGCAGTTTTGCTCAGTCAGTGTAGATCATACCGTCAGACCATCAGCAAACGTATTAAATCCGCTGGTTTAATCCTCTTCATTAAATTCCTCTTTGATTAATGTGCGTCACACGTGATAATATGATTAGGATGGAGCTATAAATACCCTGCTGAATGCACGTGTTTGTCACATTGTGTCCTTGTTTGTCACATTGTGTCCTTGTGTGTCCGTGAGCGAGCGTGGCGTGTTCCGGTGGAGCTGTGCTGATGGTCTGCTGTAGTGGAAGTGTGTGTGATGTATGTCTGTAGGGACTGTATTTGACCTACTTCTGTGCCTGCATTACTCGCGCTGCACTTTCAGCAGAAGACACAGAAATGGCACAAAATGAGAGACGATGTAGAGCCTGAAGCAGAAATCATGTGAAGCTGTTGGTTCTGGCGCATCAGCTTGAGACTCTGTGTTCCTCTACAGCGGAGGAGGTGGAGAACCTGGCCTCCATTCACTCCGAGTCCCTGGTGTCCGGATCGCACTGCAGGAGCAGGTTTGCCTCTCTGGGACGCCTCTTCAAACCCTGGAAGTGGAGGAAGAAGAAGAGCGAGAAGTTCATGCAGAGGTCAACAGGTAAATGCATATTTCTGTTAAATATACCCCATATATTAAGACAAATACGTAATAAAATGTACGTTTAGATTCATGCATTTGGCAGGCACTTTTATCCACAGTGACTTGCGTTACTTTCAGATTTAATCAGTTCATGCATTCCATGGGAATCAAATCCATGACCTTGGTGTTGCTTGCGCTGTACTGTTTGAGCTACAGGAAAATTTCATGTAATCTTGCAAAAGATTGGGTTGTATTTAATTTCTCCTGCTTTGAAGGGTCAGTCGGAGCAAAATGCTGCATCAGGCTAAAACAACAAATATATTTCAGAAGTCAGTTTTGTGTTTCATCTTCTGTCTCTTGAGTGCAGTGTGTTAATGAAGAGAAACTGCAGGGATTCAAATATATAAAGTCTACATATATAAAGAGTTACTGAACAAAATGAAGCAAGTTTATACTTAAAACAAGAACAAAAATCTGTCAAAGGGGAATGAAAACTTTTTTTTGTAATTTACTTTTATCCAAAGTTGCTTTGCATTCAAGCTTTACATTTGATCAGTTTATTTATTTCCTGGGAATTGAACCAGTGACCTAAGTGTTGCTGTTGCAGTGCTCTACTGTTTGAGCTACAGGAAGATTTGATGAGATTGAAATGCTCCAAACATATAATGCAGTGATTGAGAGCTGAAGAAATAAAGGCTCCTCAGAAGATGTGAGATGTTCTGGAGGCTTGTGAAGATCATTCCTCCGCTGAGGAACAGTGAAAGTAAAGCTTCTGGAAACAAACGCTCCTCAAAAGATCCTGAGGATCAGATTTGAGACTCTAAAACATGATTGATGGAGAATCAAGCAAAGCTGAGCTGCTTCAGTCCAGTAAGTGTTCATCTGGAGATATTACTGCAGTTATTCTGACGCTTACTTGATCAAAATCAGTCAAGATTTGACACGAGAAGCTCCAGCTGAAGGAGTTACACTAAAAGAGCTTTGACCGGATAAAAACCTCTAAACTCTCAATCAGAGACATCTCATGTTTGTGTGTGTTTCAGCTCTGGAGAGGAAGATGTGTGTGCGTCAGAGCCGAGAGGAGCTGATCAAGCGAGGAGTGCTGAAGGAGATCTTTGAGAGAGGTTCTGAGCTTCATGCTGTTTCAGTGTCTCATATCAGTTTCTGTTTGGTGAAGCACCGACCCATTATCTCATATCTGTTTTTATGTTTTTTAGTAACGGTTCGTAATGCATCACATCAGGGTGTTTTGTAGGGCACTTGCACAGCGTTGCTAATACATACGTCATATTCACAGACAGTTTGAAATGCATACAGTAATATAAACATTTTTACATTTAGAAAATAGTCATGTCTACTGATTCCTAACTTTCCACATAGCATTCTTTATGAATTTAATAACAAACTGAGAAATCTGATTTTCCCTGATCTTTTGACATATAGCAGTCGCTGTGCGTTTCAGAACTCAAAATTTCCTTGCTGCTAAAAAAGGAATACATTTCTACTTTCTGCTCTGTTATGGTGAAAGCAGAAATGGAGCCGCAGTGGTGAGATCAGTAGACTGATCGTCTATGAGAGCAGATCTGGGTATAACACTACAATCAGCACTCTTCACCGTTAGCTCATCTCATTTCATCTCATAAACCTTTTCCAAAGAGCTCCACATGTAGTATTATTTGATATGCAGAGAGTCAGCCAATCACAGCAGCAGCGATTACACTGAAGGCTTAAAGGAGACACGGCCATTTAACCCATGGAAGCCTCTTTCTGCCACAGGATAACAAAATAAAAGGCAATTGCAACTATTTATTTTGCAATTGTGAGATATAAAATAAGAACGGCAAGATAAGAAGTTGCACTTACTCTTTTTATTTTTATTCCATGTAAATGTATTCCACCTTTTATTTCTAAATGATGTCTGTTAGTTGATGTGAAAATCCTGCTAGCATTATAAGTGCAGCTCCGGAATGATTATAAACGTGATTGACGTGTGTTTGTTCTGGCTCAGACTCCAGAGCGGAGAACGGACTGCCGTCTGACTGTGAGCGGACCGCTGAGGACAGACTGAGGACCGGTGAGTGAGTGTGTGTGAGAGTGAGTGTGTGTGAGAGTGAGTGTGTGTTGTGTGCGAGAGTGAGCGTGTGTGTGTGCGAGAGTGAGCGTGTGTGTGTGCGAGAGTGAGCGTGTGTGTGTGCGAGAGTGAGCGTGTGTGTGTGCGAGAGTGAGCGTGTGTGTGTGCGAGAGTGAGCGTGTGTGTGTGCGAGAGTGAGCGTGTGTGTGTGCGAGAGTGAGCGTGTGTGTGTGCGAGAGTGAGCGTGTGTGTGTGCGAGAGTGAGCGTGTGTGTGTGCGAGAGTGAGCGTGTGTGTGTGCGAGAGTGAGCGTGTGTGTGTGCGAGAGTGAGCGTGTGTGTGTGCGAGAGTGAGCGTGTGTGTGTGCGAGAGTGAGCGTGTGTGTGTGCGAGAGTGAGCGTGTGTGTGTGCGAGAGTGAGCGTGTGTGTGTGCGAGAGTGAGCGTGTGTGTGTGCGAGAGTGAGCGTGTGTGTGTGCGAGAGTGAGCGTGTGTGTGTGCGAGAGTGAGAGCGTGAGAGTGTGAGAGTGAGAGTGAGCGTGAGAGTGAGCATGAGAGAGTTAGCGTGAGAGAGTGTGTGAGTGAGTGTGTGTGAGAGTGAGTGTGAGTGAGTGAGAGTGAACGTGTATGAGCATGTGTGTGTGAGAGTGAGCGTGTGTGTGTGCGAGCGTGTGTGCGAGAGTGCGTGTGTGTGTGTGCGAGAGTGAGCGTGTGTGTGTGTGCGAGAGTGAGCGTGTGTGTGTGTGCGAGAGTGAGCGTGTGTGTGTGTGCGAGAGTGAGCGTGTGTGTGTGTGCGAGAGTGAGCGTGTGTGTGTGTGCGAGAGTGAGCGTGTGTGTGTGTGCGAGAGTGAGCGTGTGTGTGTGTGCGAGAGTGAGCGTGTGTGTGTGTGCGAGAGTGAGCGTGTGTGTGTGAGTGAGAACGTGAGAGAGAGTGTGTGTGTGAGTGAGTTTGTGTGTGAGAGTGAGTGTGAGAGCGTGTGTGTGAGAGTGAGCGTGTGTGAGCGTGTGTGTGTGTGAGAGTGAGCGTGTGTGTGCG